AGGTCGTGAATATTTATCTGATCAATTTAAACAGCTCTGTGAAGAAAAAGGGATAATTAGACAACTGACTATCCCTGGCACTCCACAACAGAATGGAGTGGCTGAGAGGAGGAATAGAACTCTTCTAGACATGGTTAGGTCTATGATGGCTCAAGCAAACCTACCAATTTCATATTGGGGTGATGCTTTGTTAACGGCAACCTTCATACTTAATCGTGTGCCCTCAAAATCAGTCGCTTCCACACCCTATGAATTATGGACAAAACGCAAACCGGATCTAAGTATCTTAAGACCCTGGGGGTCAGCAGCATATGTTCATGATGATTCCCACAAGCATGGGAAATTGGGTCCTAGAGGAAAGAAATGTATCTTTATAAGGTACTCTGAACAATCTAAAGGATATGTTTTCATAGGTGAAAACGAAGATGGAACAGTGACTGAAATGGAATCAAGAGATGCCACATTCATTGAGACTGAATTTCCTAATAGAGGAGATGTTGACCGCACTGTATCTCTTTATGAGACACAAGAGCAAGTCAGTGCAGAACAAATTGACAGACCAGAATCGTCTAGGTGTGTCAATCTGAGTGGGAGCCAAGAAAGGTCAACACCAAGACCTGAACAAAGAAAGAAAGATAAGCAAACGTCAGAAGAAGTAACAGGGAAAGTGTTCCCAAAAGACGCTTTCAAATAGAAAGCGAATCTCTCTTAGTTACTCCAGAAGGGGATGATGAGCCCCGTTCTGTACGAGAAGCCTTGTCAGGTCCTGCAAAAGATGAATGGATGAAAGCTATGGAAGAAGAAATGGACTCAATGAAAAAGAACCAAGTTTGGGTGTTAGTTGATCTTCCAAAAGGGCGTAAAGCCATTGGGAACAAGTGGGTTCTCAAAATTAAAAGAAAAGTGGATGGATCAATTGACAAATACAAGGCTCGATTAGTGGCAAAGGGGTACACACAACAGGAAGGAATAGATTATGAAGATACATTCTCACCTGTTGTGCGTTTCAATTCTATTAGACTCATTCTGGCAATAGTAAACAGTTTAGATTTAGAATTACATCAGATGGATGTAAAAACCGCATTTCTGAATGGTGATCTGGATGAAGAAATCTATATGGAACAACCATTAGGTTTCATTGAAAAAGGAAAAGAAAATAAAGTTTGTAAACTTAAAAGGTCCATTTATGGATTGAAACAATCATCCAGACAGTGGTATTTGAGGTTTCACAAAGCAATAACCTCATATGACTTCCATATAATAGAGGAAGACCACTGCGTCTACATTAAGCGGTTTGAGGGTAATTTTGTCATATTATCCTTATATGTAGACGATATACTATTAGCCGGAAATAGTCTAGGTTTGGTGGTGGCTATTAAAGAATGGCTTTCATCGAATTTTGAAATGAAAGATATGGGTGAAGCAGAATACATACTTGGAGTTAAAATCCAAAGAAATCGTTCAAAACGAATCCTCTCTCTTTCACAAGAGAATTACATCAACAAGATTCTTGAGCGATTTAACATGAAAGACTGCAATTCCATGAGTACCCCTGTTGCTACTGGAGTGGCTTTGAGTTCTGACATGTGTCCCAAAACCGAATCCGATAAAAAGAAGATGGAAAGAGTTCCATATACCAGTGCTGTTGGTAGTCTGATGTACGCAATGATGTGTACAAGACCAGACATATGTTATGCAGTGGGATTGGTGAGCAGATTCCAGTCTAACCCCGGTGAAAAGCATTGGAAAGCAGTGAAGAGGATCTTGAGATACTTAAAGGGCACTTCCAATTATGCACTGTGCTACGAAGGAGGTGACCTGCGTCTTGTTGGGTACTCCGATGCTGATGTAGGCGGAGATGAAGAAGAACGAAGGTCAACTTCAGGTTATACCTTCTTACTCAACAATGGCGCCATATGTTGGAGTAGCAAGAAGCAAACGTGCATTGCATTGCATTCGATGGAAGCTGAGTTTGTGGCTTGCACTGCAGCAGTGCAAGAGGCTTTATGGCTGAAGAGATTTATAGAACACCTTGGATTTGGAAATGAGAGTACCAATCCGGTGATGGTATACTGTGATAATACTGCAGCCATAGCCTATACTAAAGATCCTAAGTATCACAGCAAAACCAAGCACATTGACATCAAGTATAATTTTGTTAGAGATTACATAGCACAAAAGATTGTTACTGTACAATACATTTCAACCAAATGTATGGTAGCAGATCCTCTGACAAAGCCAATAGGCGAAAAAGTTTTTAAAGAACATGTACAAGCCCTTGGCATATGTAAAGTGTAATATAAATACTTCATTAATGAAATTATATTTCGTTATCACTTTATGTGTCTGTCTGAAAGTATACAATGTCTAGTATGTCGTACAGGTTAAAAAGGTTAGCTCTCTCACACGGGCAACCGCCTTTGACACTCAGGTGGAGTGAACAAAGATGAGACATTTGTGTTCACCAGTAAAGCAGCAATGAATGTTGATATGGTAGAGAAGAAACACAAACTTTATGTCGCCTTGACTAAAGTGTAGCAAGTCAAGATGAGATCCACGTTGATAAAGCTGGATCGAAGTTTGGAATCCCACTTCCATAATACCTGTAGCCAGACAACAAACTCTTCAACGTCGACGTCATAACAATGAGCAGAGTTGAAAAATTTGGGTTTAGATACTGAGTGTGTCTGGACCCAAGTCTGTACGGTGTTGATAATAAATATAAATCGACATACGCTCTTATAGTAAAAGAGTAACACTGTAGCATGTGTTTCATACCACATGTGCTGAGAGAACCGCAAAAGGGAAGCAAGTGAAAGATCCCTGTTTCATTGCTGTGTGAGTCCCAGGGAGGAATTATCCTCCTATTGGTGTCCTTTGACTTTGATAATATCATGAAGATATGTTTCAGTGACTGCTACTTTGGCATATGTCCTATGGTCATGATTGATGCGATCTAAGGTAGTATGCTGAGAAAGCGACTGATTCATTTCAAAGTGATACTTGGGCGAAAGGAAGATTAACTATGATATACACACCTATGCTAGTGTCTGTGACATGTCCCTTATGACATTTTGTGATCGTAAGTGTGGATACTAGACATACGAGAAAGGTAATCTGAGTCAACCATTGACTCGAGAGGGATTAGATTTACCGTGAAAAGTGTATATAAGTAAATCTGGGACATCTGAGGCATAATTTTAAAATTCAAGCTACATAAAGGAGAGGGTGACTTGTGCTGATCCTTCAAAAAGGATTTCTAGTACAGGGACCTAAGGGAAGACGTCATGCCCACGCGGTCACGGCAAAGCACTAAGTATGAAATTGAGGGAAGGTGAAGAGACTAGGCCCGTGACATCTAATCCACCAAGTGTGAGTGGGAGATGTAGGAAAATGGGCCAGTCCACCCTTGGTGGATTGGACCCAAGCCCAATTACAATTTGGGGTCCTGGTGAAAATAACAAGAAATGTGGGTCATTAGTTGTAATATTCCCCGTCTTGTTTTTTGGAACTGCACGGTTACGAGGAATGGATAAGTGGAGGTAGTTACAAAAAGGAAAAAACTGCCGCCATGTATAACTTCAGTTTTTCTTTCCTCTCCATGCAACGGACCGGGGGTTCATTTTTTTTATTCATTCAGATAAACACTTCCTCCCTTCGTCTCTCTCTCCCTCTCATGGTGCATTTGCTGTGAAAACACAGATCCGACTCCGTCACCGTGATCGGACCTCCGCGTGGCAACCTGATTACATTGCAGACTCCAGGTATGCCCGAAATCCTTCAATGACAATGTATTATGCCTAATTTGGCTCAACAAAAGATATACTTAAAAAACATTATAAATAATCCACTTGAGATATTAGTAATTAAGATGCAATGAACAAAATAATACTGTTATCAGGGGTAAAAGTAATATTATCATCAAATGGGAGTGAAAGAAAAAGAACTCTTTTTTCCTTAACTTATGTTTTGTGCTGGAGGTTCCCCTTCCAACGTTGTTTAACAAAGCAAATTTTTTTTTAATGAAACAAAGTAATTTTAATATGTATTAAGTACTTTCTTTTTTTACTATGAAACAAAGTAATTTCTGAACATTTATTTATAAACATCCAAAAGAGTTATAAAAATTGCAAAGTGTGATGTTTATAACCTTTCAAAAGTTATCTCTTAAAATTCTATAACTAAAACTATATAACTTACAGCATGAATGGTTTTATGTGAATTTCTGTAATTAATACACATAGCTTTCAAATGTTATTTATTGTAACTCTTAAAATAAAATTTAAGGATTTATAATCTACAAATAGTCAGTATGTTCAAAGTAATTGTATATTTTTCCTTAAATTTTCTCATCTTATAATAAGTATCTTTTTTTTCTTGGCCAACTTATAACATATATCTTACTCATCTAAATCTGATGTATTTTTCCTGTTTTCATAGCAAAAACAATTATTTTTCAAGACAATTTTTTAAGCTTTCCTTAATAATTAGAAGATTAAAGTCGGTAAAAAAAAAAGAAGAAGAGAAGATTAAGAGCCTGTTTGTTTTTGTTCTTTGTTTTCTTATTCTCAAAACAATTTTATAAAATTGTTTTTAAGAATAAGTTTTGGAAACAAAAAACAAAATTTTTTTTTTGGAAAATAATTTTTAAAAAATCACATTTAAAAAATATATAAAAAAATTATACTTTGATAAGTGGTAGTTATCATTGATAATGATAAATAGTAGGTAGTAGAGGAGAAGATAAGAAGATTTCTCTAATTTTTCAAAATAAAAAAATAAAAATAAAAATTGTTTTAGTTTTTCAGTTTTTAAAAATACATTTTTATTTTTTTATTTTTTAAAACAATCAAATAAAAAAAAATTGTCAAACAAGTTTTTTTGTTTTTAAATAAAACAAGAAACTAAACAAGTTATTAATTAAAAATATAATAAATTAAAAATAATCGTCTCTCTTATTGTGAAGAATTTTCAAATTGGATAACCGAGCGTCTCTAGTTCCGACTACAAGCAGTGCTTAGCCGGTGGATTCCCTTCAGGCATATCCCTTTCTTCCTGAGTGTCTGATGTTTGCAAGGTACGTGAAATGCATTGGGATTGTTTGATGATTAATGGCGTTGTAATAGTTGGTCTTTGATGTCATATGCATGGTGCTTAAAACCTTCGAATGGTTCTGTAAATAAGACCCTTGGTTAAATGCAGATGCAGAAGGAAGGCGGATCGAAGAATGGAGGCTGAAGCTGTAGGGAAGAGGGAGAAGGATGTGGAAAAGTGTATTTATGGCTGATTGATGCACAAAACTTTTGCCCTAACCCTTGCATGCCCCATTTTTTAACTCTTTCGAATCTCCCAAATGCATTATCAGCCCCATACTTTCCTCTCTTCTGATGAAGTACTCTTATCTCTGCCTCAACCATCACTTGCCCATTCTCTGTTTCCCAACTCTTCTGCTGACGCTGGCTGCACAACCGATCCTCTGGACTCGGTTTCAAATGTTCAGAAATTGATCGTCCATCAAGTTCGCCCCATAAGATATGGACCTGTGAGTTGAAATCATCCCCCGTTTTCCCCTTATTTTCGAGTATGTAAATTATCCCAAAAGGGAGTTTTGAATGGTGACATGGCGGCAAAGTTCATTTTACAAAGTTAGAAACCTTTCCATTGAAGTTGAAATGCGGATTTCTTGTATTCCGGTGTTGTTGGAGTTGGATGTTGATGTTTTCAATTTTTTCTCTATTAACGGGACGGAGACACACGGGACGCGCTTATATTTGGCGGTCGGGTATTAAGCATAAAAGCTAAAATATATGGGGGGACTGCCTGTGGGCCAATTCCTAATGTTTTCGGTATTATAATTTTATTTGGCAGCAGAAAAAAATTAATACAGGTTTGCATTGGAAAATACACATCAAGGTGTCTTTCTTGATTCAAGCTGTTATTTTATGCTTTGGTTCTTTCGGAATGCAGGCTGTCGAAACTTCTCAAGGGACTTTCGACATACCCACAGTTTTTCACAGTTCGTGGTGGGACAGTTGGGTGCGTCAAATTAACCAAACCAAAACCAACAACCCGTTGCGATGTGAGGTTTGCAAAATTGATCTTAATAGCAAGAGTGTGTTTGAAGACCACATATCAGGGAAGACACACAAGAAGAGCATACAATTGCACAATAATCCGAACAACACTATATCATCTGGAACTGCTAATGTAACTTTTCAAATCCAAGAGAGTGGTGTCCAAGGACAAGAGCTGCTTGTTGATGCAGACAAGGATTTAAAGTCTAAGAAACAGAAGTTTTTGATCATGGGGGAAGCAGAGCTCGCTGATCAGGTTAGTTGTGGATTTAATCAGATTTTGTTAAGGCTATCTATTTCCGTGTGCTTTCTCCCTCTTCATTTGACTAAATTTTTTGGCTAAATTATACGCAACTTCCTTAAACTTTGTGGCATGTGCAGATAACCTCCCCCATCTTTTAAACTTTATTGTAAATCCTCCTAAACTCTCTTTTGTATGGATAACTCCCTGGATATTTAGTTTTGTTCATTAAGTTTCTTCACTTACCTTAAAACTTAAGGGAGTTGTATGCATATAACTCAGTTTGTGGGTGTTATATGTACAGAAAAGTAAGGTTTAAAGAAGTATGTAATTGTTGGTTGGGGTTTATCCATATAAATTTAAAATTTTAGGCTGGTTAGTTATTAAGGGCCTGTTTGGCTTTACCCGATCACAGTTCTGCAGTACTACCTCTGGTCCTTAATATAAGACCCTGTTTGATTTTTATTTTGGTCCTAAATATAAAACCCCAATCCACTTTGTCTCTCATATTTATATATTTTTTTCCAAAGTAGCCCTTCTAATAATATAGTTCTAGTCAATACACTTGATTAGTAAGGATGTTTTAGGAAAGACAACACCTATTTAGGACAAATAACTAACTCAACTTACTTCCTTAATCTCCTCAAATTAGTTAACTGGCTCTTATTCTTATAATTAGGACCGGAGGTAGTATAATGCAATGCTATGTAATGGGAATGGGAATGCCCCATAATATTAATTACCCGGATGATTTTATTTAATGAGTTATTTTTTAATAATTATTTAAAATTAATATGTGACAGAAAGACAATTTTATCCTCAAATGGCAGCTGTAGACAGCATTGTCAGTCTCTTTCTTCCCATTAAGCTCATTCTCATCACTGTCCTCATCTTTGCCTGTAAACCATGGTGCTTCCTTTGCTCTTCCAGTTCCCAATCAGAAATTACGAAACCTTGTTGCTCTGGTGGGGTCTAACATTCATCAATGGTGGATTCGCCCCTCTTCCAGCTTCGAACTCGGGCCAACGTTCTCCTTCACAAACATTTGCTTTGTAAAAGCATGTGTGTGTATTTACCTTTTGGGATCCTTAATAAACTCCAATTTCCCTCTCTATTCCATTTCTTAATTTTTCATCTTGTTCTTCCAGGGTTTTTATTTTACTAGAGAAAGTTCAGAAGCTAGTGATACAATGATTTTTGAAGCTGCCTTGCTAATAGTAGTATAAGTCGAGGTGAAACTAGGATTATTTTCTCTAGGATTCTTGTGTTGATTTGCTTAGAGTCTGATATGTATTTCAGTTTGATGGGTTTAAAGAAGGGACCTTTCGTTCTTAATTTTTAACGAGTCTAACCAAATATATTTTTTGTGGGTTTTGTCCGCTAATACGCATGTATCTTTGTTTGCAAATACGGTGGAGGGATTTTGCAGATTAATCATCTGATGGCGCCATTTGTTTATGGAGGGCAAATATTGTCTTTATACTTAGGTCATTGAGGACAAAATAGACATTTTGCGAAAGATTGTGGGCCTGCAATGAGTATTCATAAGGGACCCCCTTAGGAATAGATATTAAAAAAAAGGTGCAATCTTTTTTACCAGTGGAATCCTTTTTACCATCGTTAGGCTCAACCAAACATATCATAATGTGATAACGATTCCCATCGTGTCTACAATTGGGTTGAACCAAACAGGCCCTAAGTTTTAAATGTTAAGGGCGTTGTTTGTATATGATTCAAAGCTCATGAGAGTTTTGTTTAATTTAGCTGAATTGTTTTATGTTGTTTATCTATAATTTTCCATCTGCTCGTTCGTTTTCTTAAAAAACTGTTATTTTATACTATCATTCTTTTGGTGTGCAGGCTGTCAAAACTTCTCAAGGGACTTCCGACATGCTCACAATTTTTCATAATCTATGGAGGGACAATTGGGTGCGTCAAATTAACCAAACCAAAATCAACAAGCGAATGCGATGTGAGGTTTGCAAAATTGATCTTAATAGTAAGAGTGTGTTTGAAGACCACATATCAGGGAAGAAACACAAGAAGAACATGCAATTGCACACTAATCCAAGTAACACAGTGTCATCTGCTATCGCTAATATGAATTTTCAAATCCAAAATAGTGGTGTTCAAGGACAAGAGCCACTTTTTGATGCGGACAAGGATTTAAAGTCTAAGAAACGGAAGCTTTTGATCATGGGAGAAGCAGAGCTCGCTGATCAGGTTAGTTGTGGATTTAATCGGATTTTCTTAAGGCTATCTGTTTCCTTGTGCTTTCTCCCTCTTCATTTGATTAATTGTTTGGCTTAGAAACAACTTCCTTAAACTTCATGGCATGTACAGATGACCTCCCTCATCTTTTAAACTTCATTGTATATACTTTTACATGGATAAGTCCGGGGTTTAGTTTTGTTCATTTGTTTTCTGCACATACCTTAAAACTGAAGGGGGGTATATGCATGTAACGCAAAAGTTTGTGGGTGTTATATGTACGTAAAAGTAAAGTTATAATTGATGGTAGGGGGTTATGCGCCCAAATTTAAAGGTTTAGGCTGGTTAGTTATTAAGTTTTTAATGTTTAGGGAGTTATTTGTCTATGGTTCAAAGTGAGAGTTTTGTTTAATTTAGCCTAATTGTTTTATGTTGTTTATATTTAAATTTCCGTCTGCTTGTCAGTTTTCCAAGTTCTCTAGGCATAATTTCTTGTATTTTTTTTTTTGACCAGTGCATAATTTCTTGTATTAAACATAGCTTTTCTCGACAGAAATACCTGAATGATAAATGTGAGGATGGTTAGCTGTTTTATCACTGTGCAAACTCTTCACCCTTGTATCAACTGTGAGGATGTTGTAACACTGATTTTTATCGCTTCCATTTTTATATGTTGTGATTTTTTTCCATCCAAAAATAGATTGCAGTATATTCTCATTGACTGGGCTTGATGTTGCTGTTTGGCCAAACTTCAATCTTTTTTCCCACTTGAATCTAATAAGTAGTTGAGCATGACAGCTTTTCAAGGTTCTTTCCTTAACATCTTAGCATGGATACGTGGACTAGGTGAAAGTCTATATGCATGGGCCAAGCGGTTGGCGCTACTGCCTTTTTCTTTCTCCTTTTGTGGCTGTGTATGTTTAGGGGCCATGAGAACTACAGTGTTCTTACTTATAACCATCTGATGATTCATTGGAAATGATATGCAGCAGGCGATGGATCCAACAAATGAGCCATTGGAAAAGTTGGACACTAGTAAACAAGAGTTGATCAATTCACATAAACCAGAAATTGCATTCATGTTAGAAGCTCCAGAAAAGGACGTTGAAACAAAGAAACAGAAGTGTGAACTTGAATTCCCTTCTAGATGTGAAATTTGCTCGATCGATTGTAATAGTAAGAAAGTATATATCAGTCATTTATCAGGGAAGAAACACCAGAGGAACCTGGAGAAAGTGTCACAATCTGAAGATAACAGAGCCATTGCTAGTGTAGCCAGTGCTGCTGCAGCCACTATGACAGAAATTGATGTGCAACAAGCAACAAAACAAGCAATTGAGCCACAGGAAAAGCTGGAGACTAGTCCACAAGAAGGTATGGATACACATGAATCAGGAAACATAGTCATTTTTGAGGCTCCAGAAAAGGATACTGAGACAGAGAGACTTAGAATTGAACCTTTTGGTGGGGCTGCAATTACTTTTTCCATAGTGTGCGAACTATGCAACGCAGCATGCAACAGCGAGACGGTCTTTAATTCGCACCTCCATGGGAAGAAACATGCTGCTATGGCGAAGAAGCTGACAATGTCAAAGTAGCTGGTTTCCAAGTGAGAAAATTTCGTAAATTGGCTCTTGAAAACCTGCCAGGTGATATTAGGCGTGGAGCATGAGTATTTGAATATTGTGATGACGACAAATTACTCCTGGAGAAAAAGTCGCCATTGTGCTGATTGGATGGCAAGAGCATCTAATAGCTCTTGGGGGGAAGGTATGTGTCTATATAACTAGATTTTACTTCCCTGAGGGATGCATGGGGAGATTAAAAAGTAACAGTAATTTATAGAGGTTAAAATTAGTAGTACTTTATTATTGATGACAATTATTATCTTAATATGTAAATATAATTTAATATATGTATTCAATAATTTTAGTTTCTCCATAAGAATATAATAAATATAGTCAAATATGGTGCATTGGTTTTAATTAAAGCTTTATAACGAATCACTCTTATTATAACGGTGAAGGGGGTCAATTAAACTCGCAATAATAAAAACCATCAAACTGTATTAAAACAAACAAGAATGAAAGTTGATGGACAACATAACTTGTATGGGGATGAAAGATCAATAAACTGTAACACATCAAATAAATTATGAATTACTAACAAGGCCTCTAACTCATCTCACATAACTGTACATTTTAAGTATTAAGAGTGGCTTAGGAGGTTGGCGCTAATGTTGTCTAATCACAATCAGAGAAAAAGCAGATCGTGAGAGGAGGAAGGTCCAAACGAAAGAGGGGAATAATAGAAGAATTAGAAACCATAATCACAATGACTATGACCAACAATCACGGACCATAAAAGAGACTACGGCCGAAGGGCAAAAATGAGACTCCGGCATATGCTTGGGGGACCCAAAAAGCAAAACTGAAAAAGTAAGTAGTTGCATACACACAACTTTGTTTCTATTATTTTTATATAATAACTGATTTCGTTGTTTTAAAATATTAATTGGTTTATAATTTATCAAATTTTCTCAATTATAAATATTAGTTCCTATACTCATAATTTGTTCATTATGACTAATGTGAATATTGATTATACAAGTTGTCAAAACATCACCAAATGAAAAATGAGATTTTAAGAATAAAATAATTAAATGAAATTACTTATTATCAGTGTAAAAAAATTACTCATCCGATCTTTAATATAAGATCTATTTAACTAATTTGATTAGATTAAGGAAATTAGATAAGTTAGTTAATTGTAAGAAATGTGACACGTTTTTCTTAAAATACCATAATCATCTTTCTTAATACCCCTTCTTCCTCTTCTACTTGATTATGGTTGAAAGAGTATCCATATGGGTAATTTATAAAAAATTGATAAATATGAGAAATTGGTCTTATATTTAGAATAAAAACTAACTCAACAATTAGGTCCTATACTAAGGATCAGAATAATATTATGCTAATTATTGTCTCTTTCCATTTAATATTAATATCTGCAAGAAAATTAATGTCCATAAACATAGTTTATTTTAATTTTGTTCTCATTTAGTGCTCATTACAATGATGAGTATGGTGTGTTTATCACTGTAATAACATCCGAATCATTTAAAATGTCTCATTTTTCATCTGGTAATCTTTGTTAAATCCAGTTGAGACAATCAAAATTCAAATTGGGCCTACATCCATCGTCAATTTTCTTTTTTAATTAGAGAGGGACATTATAATCTCTTAACAATAATAAAAAATCCTTTCCTAATTAGAAATTTATTGAAAATGTAAGCCTAAATTTGAATTTTAAAATTTCAGCTAGATTTATTTGGAATTTTTTCATTTACATTTCTGGCCATATCTAGATCTTGTAGCGCTCAAATATAATTATAAAGTTAAAAGAATTTAGCCTTTGATAAAAGAAAACACATCTTAATTTACATTTATTTGTGTGACTTAACTGGATCCAAATGAGATGGCCAGAAACTAGTTGACATTGCGTTGTGTGTGTGTGTTGGGGGGGGGGGGTGTTAAAGTTTTATTTTACTCATAATATTATTTTTTATTCCCAATACATTGCACTTGAATACTTTAAAAGATTTAGGCATCGTAGAGCATCATATTGAAAAATAAAAATGCAAGAATGACACATTTGCATTCTGCATATATGTAAAGATACTTTTACGTTTACTACGAAGTAATGAAAATAAGATATAAGGATTGGGATTAAGGTTGAAAACATATTTAAAAGGATGTTTAACAGGAATGATTTCTTATCATATGGGATTAAGTAATCTTATATAGATAGGATTAGAGAATACTACCTTCCTTCATGGTATTTTCTAATCCCATATATATGGGTTTGTCTAATATCAAGTATCATATAATTATTCATGCTAAACACTTTTTTAATATATTTTGGCACTTTCAATTTCAATCTTTATTCTTTATTTTTAATGCTCTGTACCAAACAGAAAAGTAAGATTAAAAAAAAAGTTGTATGTAATATATACCATGTTTCTAAAATAAAAATATTTTTAAAAAGTAACGAATACATTGTTCCCCAGTCCCCGTCAATGAACTGTGTGGGCCCGTTTCGATATGATTTAAAATAAACAATATCAATGTGATTTAAAAAAAAAAAAAACTGTTTAGATTTCCTACTATATCTAAATCCTCAAAGTAGTGCTCAAATAGTTATAAATTTAAAATAATTTATCCTTAAATAAAATATATATATATATATATATATGTATGTATGTATATCATACTTTGCTTTCATTTGGTGCGATTCGACTTGTTCCACATCAGAATAGGCCCCATAGTATGAATTTTATATTGGTCCAAATTCATATTTATAAAAATAAACATTAAAATGAATATTAGCGTGGAGAAAAAAATTAGTTAGAATGGTTATTTATAATTAGTAGGCTAATTTACATAAAACATCTCAGAACTTAAAACTATTTACCAATAATCTTATTGACCTTTAAAAGAGTAAAGTATACTTTTAGCCTTTTAACTTTACATACGGTTTCGTTTTTTAACTTTAAAAAGTAAACTTTTAGTTATCTAACCCTAACACTGTTAATAAAAAATGATGATATTAAACTCTTGAATGTTAATAAAATATTATTGAATGCTAACATATTATGTTTAATTTTCAAAACAACCATTATTATTACAAAAAATCATTATTTAAGGTTAATAATTTTAAGATTAAAAGACTAAAAGTATATTTTTTAAAGTTAAAAGACCAAATTAAAAACTTATATAAAATTAAAAGACCAAATATATATTTTAACCTCCTTTAAAACTTTACAACAAGCTTTCTCAAATTTTCAAGTCCACGCTGATAACTACAAACTTTTCGATTTTACACCTCTTTAATTTTTTTTATGCATATAACTCTTTCAAACTTTCAGTTATATGCAAATAAACGTCTTAAACTTTATGTCAGTTGCAAATAAATAATGAACAAAACTAGTAGTGTGGAAGTTCTATATATAAATATAAAAGTTCAAACAGGTTTATTGTAAAATTTTAAACGTTAATAATAAGTCTATTTACATATGAGATAAAGTTTACAGTTTTGTATAATTTAGCCTAACTAATATGTAAAAAATTTGTGACATTTTCTTTCCAAAAATACCCTTATCAATTAAATGATTAGACTATAATGGGCACATCAAACAAAAACTTTCAAATTGGTCCTGGAAGCGGAAGGGGAAACGTCTAAAATTGTTCAAATGAAATCCAAGCTAGCTATCGAAAGATATATATATATATATATATAGAGAGAGAGAGAGAGAGAGAGAGAGAATGTGTAAAGATGTGGAAAGAATTATCTCGTACGAAGCAAAACTAAAATTCACCCACCAAGTTGAAAACCAAAGGGTTGGATTTTTGCTATTGACACTGCGAGGAGGAGACTTAAAAGAGGGATAAAGTGATATGTGTCAGAACTTTAATATATAGTGGAAGCCGTTCTGTTGTGTTCAGTTCTGTTATTAATTAGTGGTATGGTTGTGCACCAACCCAACACTCTCCTCATTACCAAACACTTTCATCATAACGCATGAATTGGAGTTTTATATATATATATATATAGAGAGAGAGAGAGAGGGAGGGAGGGAGGGAGGGAGGGAGGGAGGGAGAGGGAGAGAGATTATATTTGCTACAAAAACAAACAAAACATTATATTTGTCACTTTCCAAAAGAGCAGTAGTGTGGAGTGAAAAATTGGGAAACACGTCAAATTCGTGCAATGAGTAGTACAGAATAGTTAGATTAGCTTCTAAGATAAGGCAAATCAATTGAAAAGTCAGTCTAAAATAAATACTCTTTCGCCTTCGTTTTTGCTTTCTGCAGAAATATATCATATTTCTGGTACGTTCCCAGCAGAGTTCTCAGACAAAACATGAAGCAGAGGCTCCATTAGTAATAATCAGACAGACATTAATTGACTGGTTCCAAGATGGCGATGATACTTCCGACGTTGGTTTTTCTGGGATTCTTGTCGCTTCAGATTCATTTGATCTTCTCTTTCACTGATCCTCAAGATGGTATATTTTATAATTTTGTTCTTAATTTTGCTCCATCGTTTTATTTAACTTATCACAGTCTAAATTTATTCATGGCCTTCACATATGTTTATGCATGTACAGTTGCAGTAGTAAGATCTTTAAAGGATATGTGGCAAAACACACCACCCAGTTGGGATAAATCAGATGATCCCTGTGGAGCCCCTTGGGAAGGAGTCACCTGCAACAGATCCAGAATCACTTCACTGTAATAAAATATTACATATATATATTTGTGCTTTTAATTAAGATGCTTGTTAGTTTCAGACATAGCATGAGCTTTTTATATTTCCTGGTTCATTGGCAATTGTACAGGGGATTGTCAACTATGGGCCTCGAAGGCAAACTGAGTGGAGACATTGGAGGTCTCACTGAGTTAAGATCCTTGTAAGTACCTTATTAACATTAGAATTCGATTTCTTTTTTTATATTTATTTTATACAAGTTAAAGGCATGCATGCAAACAAACATGTCAACTCGAGCTTGAGTTCAGAACCTTATCTAAGTGTGGCGGCCTGGCGGGTGGTATTAACACCAGAATAGCCTTCGGTTGGCAACACCGGAATTGATTAAAATGCTTAAATTTAATTGATGTTGAATAACATGTATGGTTGTTGGTGAACAGGGACTTGTCGTTTAACAGAGGTTTGAAGGGTCCTCTGTCTCCACAATTAGGAGACCTCAAAAATCTAAATATATTGTAAGGCCAAGATCTTCAATTCATTCGTGTCGTTTAACTCTTTGGCCAACATAACCTTCATGTCGTTTTAAGTCTTTGAACTATTTCATGACATTTTTCTTCTTCACTTATTGTTTAGGATTTTGGCTGGTTGCAGCTTCAGCGGCAAAATTCCAAATGAATTGGGAAATCTCTCCGAACTTTCATTCTTGTAAGAGCAAACTGCAATTATAGGGATTCAGTGAAGTCTGTGGATTTTATTTATTTATTTATGTTTTCAATTCCAATTATCCGTTGTCTATTTTGTTCATTTGCTTTTTCATTTGCTTTTTTAAATTTATAGTATTAAGTTTTATTTTACTCCCTTAATCTTATAAAATGTTTTTGTTAATTATCTATCTTTAAAACCGTTAGTTTCATTGCTAAAGTTGTTGGCAATAAAATTTTAAATATGGACAAAATATTCTCAAATATTAATATATTAAGTATAATTTTTTAGAATAGCAATAATTAACACAAAAGGTTATCATTTGGTTGATCAGGGCATTAAATTCAAACAACTTGTCTGGAGATATACCAACTTCATTGGGTAATCTTTCCAAATTATATTGGTTGGACTTGGCAGACAATCAATTAACAGGGCCAATTCCCGTGTCCACTCCCACATCTCCTGGATTAGACATGCTTTTAAAGGCCAAGCACTTGTGAGTACTTTCATTTTGATGATATTATTATTATTATTATTATTATTATTATTATTATTATTATTATTATTAGTTTCTTTTTATTCATTTGGAAGGCAATCGTATCCAAAAGTACTATTGATTTATTTATTTTTCATGTGATAATAATGCAGCCATTTCAATAAGAACCAGCTATCAGGTCCCATTCCACCAAACCTTTTCCACTCTGAGATGGTACTCATTCATGTGTAAGTTCCAAAGATGGACCCAAAAAAAAAAAGTGAAACTCTTTATTTAAATGCTTTTTGCCTGTTTAATGAATAATTGATTAATACAAAATGGAATTAAAAAATTCTTTATAGGTAAAGAGATGGAAACAAAACAAAGTTGATAAGAGAAGAGTATGAATTCCATAGTTGGCAGAAGAATTCCATAATTCAATTTTTTTTTTTTACATAGAAATAATGTGTGTGTGTGTATATAAACTCATGACGCATATATAGATTTTATTTTATTTTATTCTTATAATTTGAATTTTCATTGTAATATTTATAAAATTTAAATAAAATAATAATTTGACTGCTATTTTTTTTATAAAAAATATTTTTAAAAATATAAATTAGAAACTTTAAAATTGAATTATTCAAATTAGATCTAAACGGTAACATGCTCATTGATTCAATGACCAATGGAAAAAAAAAACGGATTAAAACATATAACGGCATTAATTTTTTTTTAGCTTTTTAATATATAAAAATACATAAATTTAAAAACAATCAAGTTAACGCCTATACGTATAATCATTACATTTGTGCATAAAATCACAAGTTATTAATGTTTGCATCTTTTTGGACAATCATATCAAGTCTTCTTACGTTATTTGATTATATTGAGCCTTCTTGCAATGGAACAGGTTATTTGATGGGAATCGTTTAACAGGCACAATTCCATCAACATTAGAATTAGTTCAAACACTTGAAGTTCTGTAAGTAATCATGCTTACTCTGTTTTAATTACAATATTTTATTTCTCTTTATTATCTCTTATTTTTTTTTCTGGGCTTACGACAGTCGGCTTGATAGAAATTTCTTTACTGGAGAAGTCCCGTCAAATCTCAACAACCTAACCAACCTCAATGAATTGTGGGTACTTATCCTTGAGGTCAATTTAAATTTAGAAATCTGGTGGTACTTTCTTTACACCTGCTCCCAAATCAAAATTTAGAATGTCTAAGTTATATATTTTTAGCTTCTATTATTATTTAAGTAGAAGTATATATAATAACTAAATTAAAAAAAAAAGTGTAAAAACCAATTTTCCAAAGCACCTTAAGCCTGGGAATGAGCTTTTAAATACCATGTTTTTCTCTTTCAGGAATTTGGCACATAATAAATTGACAGGTTCTTTACCAGATTTGTCTCAGATGGATACTCTCAATTACGTGTAAGTAATAATAGTCGCTACTTGTCAATTCAATTTTTATGTGCATATATTTCTTTTAACTTAATTTAAATTTATGATGTTGAACGTGACAGGGATCTGAGCAATAATTCTTTTGATCCTTCTCAACCCCCATTATGGTTCCAAACTTTACCATCACTTACCACTTTGTAAGTCTTCTCATAATATACCTTGTGTAAATTATGTCATAGCTATTAGTTACATGCTATTCCCTCATTATTTATTTTATTTACTCCTATAACCGCACTGTAATTATTGAGCAAAAGTATATATTTGATCTTTTTACCTAATGCAAAATTTCATTTTGATATATTAATCCTATAAATGTTTATTTAATCATCTGAAAACACTATTAGTTTCATTAAAAAAATGATGCTCTTAAAATCTTAAATGTTCACAATACATTCTCAAATACTAATATATTTATTAGGTTTCATTTTTAAAAATAAAAATGATTGGCATAAAAAAATTTATTGTTTGAAACTAATGGTGTTAATGGTAGATGACTAAAATGACACTTCATCAAATTAAGAGATCAAAGACCAAAGGTGCACGTTTGTGTAACTATTACGTGAACGTTAACCTAAAGTGAAGTTTAGTATATGGAAAAAAGAACTTGAGGAAAGGGAAAAGGTAAGAGAAAGTATTTTTATTATGTTTAAAAATGAAAGAGTGCTTTCTCATATTTATGAAAGAAAGTTTTTCTATTTACACTCCCTTTCTCATTTCCATTTTTCTATAAACAAAAATCCTAATTTCGTTCATTTAAAGTTCTGAAGGAAAATCATATTACTTAGGCTAGTTGTGAAGCACCATTTATCTGATATAGAGTTTTTTTCCTTGTTTTTTTTTTTTTGGGGTAAACTATTAGAATTATGGAGTTTGGATCACTCGACGGTCCTCTGCCATCAAAACTCTTCAGCAGTCCCCAAATACAACAAGTGTAAGTCTCAAATTTAAACTTGGATTGAATCCTAAACAAGCATTGGAATGGTAGTTTTCTGGGTAATTTACTTAATGATTTTCAATTATTGTCAGGAAATTAAAGCACAATACATTGAACAACACTTTGGACATGGGGGACAGCATTAGCCCTCAATTACAGCTTGTAGATTTGCAAGACAACCAGATTACTTCAGTAACACTCAGTTCTGGATACAAAAATACGTTGATGTGAGTAATTTAATTTTGGTCATTTCATTAATATGACATGAAAATATCTCCCGCAATTTTATGGTCCAGTAGGGATAAAGAGAGTGGTAGCACATGTTATGAACTCCTAAAATAATTCAAGAGAGAATCTCACCTTATTCTCTATATCTCTCTATTTCATCGCTAAGAATTATTTTAAAGGATCCTTTTCAGACGGGGTTTGTCTTTGAGTTTGTGTTTTGGTCTTCGCCTCCCTAAGTGAACACAAGTTCGACTGTGTTCGCTTGGAGGTTGTCAAGTGAGTCTTGTCACTTTCTATATCTCTTTCTACTAGACCATGATATTTTCTACATAGAGATTCATATTTCAATATGTTGACTTGTGAATTAACATTCTTGTTGTGACTTTCAGTTTGATTGGAAATCCAGTGTGCCTTACAGCTCTCTCAAATACCAATTACTGTCAACTACAACAACGACCCAAAAAGCCTTACTCTACCAGCTTGGCTAATTGTGGAAGCAAATCATGTCCTACTGATCAGAAGTTAAGCCCGCAAAGTTGTGAATGTGCCTATCCATATGAAGGAATTTTATATTTCAGAGGACCCTTGTTTAGAGAATTATCAAATGCAAATACATTTCATTCTCTTGAGATGAGTTTGTGGGTGAAGTTAGGCCTCACTCCTGGTTCAGTATCATTACAAAACCCATTTTTCAATAGTGATGATTATCTTCAAGTGCAATTAGCACTCTTCCCACCAACAGGAACATACTTCAATAGGTCAGATATTCAGAGAATTGGATTTCGATTAAGTAATCAAACTTACAAGCCACCACCAGAGCTTGGACCATATTACTTCATTGCATTTCCTTATGCTTTCCCAGGTAACATAGAGACACAACCCACTTTTATTTATGTGCCATTGAAAATTGCGTTGTGTTTTCTTGCTTGAAATATGATTCATTTGCTGATATAATTGCTAGCAGAGTAGGTTGGTCCAACTAAATCACTTTTATGAACATAATACAATCATTGGGACCCACTTGGGCAGGATGCACCTTTAAGTAGGTTCTATTTGTTTTGTTTCTTTTTCTTTCAAAGGAGAAATTAGCCCTCATGCTCCTTTTTCCAATAGTTGGATCAAATCAATGAAACAAATTTTAGACAAGAAAGGACAACATGTTTTTGAAAAATAGAAAATCTCTTTTCCTGTTTATAATGATGAGTGATTACAATTCAAACTGCTTCAGAAACTCGTGGAGCGGCTTCTCTAAGCAAGCCTGTTGTCATTGGGATAGCAATTGGTTGCTCATTTCTGGTATTGAGCCTCGTAGGGCTAGGGATATATGCCATTATACAAAAGAAGCGTGCAGAGCAAGCCATTGTGCTAAGCAGGCCTTTTGGTAACTTATACTTATTTCTTGTCAATCCCCTTTTATCCTTTTTGTTTTTCGACTCCGAATGCTTTTAGCCTAGCTTGAATATATATTATATGTGAAATAAGAGTGGACTTTGGTAATGACTTTTATCTGTTAAGCATGAGTCCTATATGTGTTTGTCTTTTGTAGCGTCATGGACACCTAGTGGGAAGGATAGTGGAGGAGCTCCACAACTAAAAGGAGCGAGATGGTTTTCTTATGATGAACTCAAAAAGTGCACATCAAATTTCTCCCATAACAATGAGTTAGGATTTGGAGGTTATGGCAAGGTATTGCATTTTCATGCCAATTTAAATGTATATTTGTGTATGTAAAGAGTTAATCAGTTAGTAATCAGCATAAATCTATAATAACCATTCTATTTATGTTGTAGGTGTACAAAGGGGTGCTTCCTGATGGACAAATGGTTGCAATAAAGCGAGCCCAACAAGGATCAATGCAAGGAGGACTTGAGTTCAAGACTGAAATTGAATTGCTTTCACGAGTTCATCACAAGAATCTTGTTGCCCTTGTAGGCTTCTGCTTTGAACAGGGAGAGCAAATGTTAGTTTATGAATATATGCCTAATGGAACACTCAGGGATTGTTTATCAGGTATTTAATTGTCAATGCAAAGAACACTCACACAGAAATACATATAAAAAAAAATATATATAGTATGCACTAATGTATTGGTATTATGATGTTATTGCAGGTAGATGTGGAATTTATCTAGACTGGAAGAGGAGGTTAAGAGTTGCTCTCGGATCAGCAAGGGGACTTGCTTATTTACATGAACTTGCTAACCCTCCAATAATTCATAGAGATGTCAAGTCCTCTAATATCTTGCTAGATGAGAATTTGACAGCAAAAGTTGCAGATTTTGGCTTGTCAAAGTTAGCATCAGATAGTGGAAAAGGCCATGTTTCTACTCAGGTTAAAGGCACATTGGTAAGTAACTATGTAACTTGTGGTTTGTTTTCCATTCTCCTTCCTCATTTGGATGGCTAAAAGTTTTTTAAAAAAAAATATTGCCTTTACATGTAGGGGTATCTTGATCCTGAATATTACATGACACAGCAATTGACCGAAAAGAGTGATGTGTATAGTTTTGGGGTTGTGATGCTCGAACTTATAACTGCGAGACAACCTATCGAGAAAGGAAAGTACGTTGTGCGTGAAGTGAGGTCATTGATAAATAAGAATGAACAAGAGTATTGTGGTTTAAGGGACATGATGGATCCAGTGGTTATAGAAACTTGTAATCTTGGGGGGTTTCGTACGTTCTTGGATCTCACAATGCAATGTGTTGAGGAATCAGCTTCTGATCGTCCAACAATGAGTGAAGTTGTGAAAGCTCTTGAAATCATTCTACAAAATGATGGCTTGAACACAAACTCAACTTCTGCTTCCTCTTCTGCAACAGACTTTGCACTTTCTAAGACTTCTCTCACACATCCATACATGGATACTTTCAGCAGAAAGGACATTAATGAGACCAATAGTGCATTTGACTATAGTGGCGGCTATACACTTCCTGCAAAAATCGAGCCGAAATAGAACCAAACTATTTAAATTTGTCAAAAATACTGTTGGTAGTTTTCATGTCATATAAATATCAAGTTGTTTTCTACACTATTTTTTCTGACAAGTAAGCTATTGCATTTGTAACTCAAATGTTATTAATTCTTTATCAGCAATTTTGTAGTCATTAAAAACTACACCATATCTTATCATAGAGTTAACTACCTAACTATATTTTTTTCCATCAAAATTCTTATAATAATTTGTCAAACTATTTCCTCATGCTTATTGCATCTTTATGTACTTTTTCTTTCCCTTACAACTAAATGCGTCTGGCTACTAATATTAATGTGTGTTATCTATGCACAATCATATATAATTACAAGTTACAACTAATATTCTAAGATTAGGTTAGGTTTGGTTTTGATTAAAAACTAAAATTGAAAATCCTTTGTTGCGACTATAATAGATATCAAACCTAAGTTGTTCAAATTGACTATAAAGTGTTAAATTTAAGGTTTTGATGATAACAAATTAAGGAATCTGTATTTTAGTAAGTTGATCGATCACCTGATTGATTAAGGCTTATCGATCACATGATAGATAAACTTCTTGTATAAACAAATAACTTAGCAGAAATGTTAATCGATGACTTGATAGATAAATCAATTTGTATGTGTTGATCAATCATTATTAACACCATTTTGTATAAAAGTTTGCAGAAAATTATAGATCAATTGATCGATAATCCAATAATCGAATAACTGACAGATAATAGGATACAATTTTTGGTAAGTATTTATCGATCACATGATCGATAAATAAGTCATTGATGAGAAGACAGAAAAATAGTAAAGCTTCCTACCCTCGCTGTATTTTGTCTCAATCACCATTTATCGATCATAGCTTTATCGATAACTTGTTTTGTCATTGCATAATAACTTACCTATTTATCGATATTTTCCTTCTGTTTAAGTGTTTTGAAAAATACTTTATTGATCACTTAATCGATCAACGGTTTATTGATCAAATGATCGATCATTACTCTTTTATTGGTTTAAACTGTGTTAAGCACCTCTTCGATAACTTGATCAATCATTGATTTATCGATAAAATGATCGATCATCCATTCTTCTAAATGTCCTATTTTCACATAACGTGATCAGTCAAATTTTTTTCTAGGATTTCAAAACTAAGTCTCTCAATTATATTTTTATCGATCACTTGATTAATCAATCTTTAATCAATCACTTACTCGATTATCATAGGACTTGTGCTCTTTGTGAAAATCTTTGTTAAACTTCTTTGTCTCGATCAAATTTTCTGTCATCCATTTATCGATAAAGTATTCGATCAATGTATCTTGAAAATCAAATTCTCTCTTACTTATCTTTATCGATAACCTGATCGATCAAACATTTTTCAATCACTTATTCGATCAATGATCCAGTTCATTCAATAACAAGAAGCTACGGTGAAATCCAAAAATCTTCTAAATATTTCTCTTTGAGCTTTTCTTAACCTTACTGTTTATCTTAATTCTCTATTTTAAGGGATTCAAAATCATGAGTGACCTTGAGTCTTTTCTCCAGATGATCTTTCTCAAGTCACTCTTTTCATTTATTAATCACTTGATCGATCATGAGTTAATCCATAACTTGATCAATAAACATAGTTATCTATTTCGATCATGAGTTAATCCATAACTTGATCAATAAACATAGTTATCTATTTCAAAATCTTTTATCTTAATTAATCGATAACACAATTGATAAACCAGTTATCGATCATGACTTCGGTCAAGGATGTTCAATTCATAGTTATTCGATCTAATGTTTGATTAATTCCCTTCCCATCTACCATATGAATATTATTATCATTTGACTAGTTATCTTCCTAAGTTTCATTCTGAATGAAAAACTTATTAGATTGAAGTATTGATACAGAATACGAAGCAAGCTCAACGGTTATTTAAGTAGCCTGTAACCTACCATGTCAGAAGCATTAATAGCGAAACCGTTGCAACTGGAAAAACACACAACCGAACTCTCAACGGCTAGAAGGTCTTCCATCTAATGGTTATTAAACTTCTCCAACTATAAAAGGCACAAAGAAGCATTGAATGTAGAATTGAATACGTGAACTACCTTCTGCAAAAACTCCTACTGTTGCATTCAATACTCTGTTTTTCTCTTTACCGAGCTTCAATGTTTCACGTTCATTTACTCTGTGAGAGAGACTGATACATCATTTTTAATCACTTTCTAAGTGTAACTCAAGAGTGTGGACTCTTGAATGGGATTGTAACCTTACAGGTAGTAAGGGAGAGTGATTGAGAAAATAATTCCTGTACTGAGACACCAAGAGCCCAGTTAATCTTGGATCATAGTGAGAATCTCAGAGGTGTTCTAAGGACTGGACGTAGGTCAAGTGGTTAAGACCGAACCAGTATAAATCTGGTGTCTTTGATCTACGGTGAAATCTTTCTAACTCTAAGCTCTCTATTTTTATTAATTTCATCGTTTTAATTCGGATAAAATTTTTATAATTCACCCAATTCACCCCTCTCTTAGGTGAGACTATCGCTAATATTTGGTATCAGAGCAGGTTTCTTTAGTAAGGACTTAACAGTCTGAAGAGATATCCATGGCAAGTTTCAAAGACAGTGTGCTACCCGAAGGATGTTCAACATCAAATCCTCCTGGTGTCAATAGAGAAAACTACACCTTCTGGAAGATGAGGATGAAGATCTTCATCAAAGCTATCGAGTATGGTTTATGGGATGTGATTGAACACGGCAACTACATTCCAATAAAAACTGAAAACGGTCAACAAGTTCGTAAGAGTTTGAGAGAGTTCAATGAAGAAGACAAGAGGCTAGTGACATTAAATGATAAAGCTATCAACATACTAACCTGTGCACTCGCAATGGCCAAGAAGAAAGCTCCGAGAAGCCTGTAAAGTCGAAAGAAAAGGGTCAGGCAGCTATAAAGAAATGATACAAACCCAAGGTTCGAGATGATTCCTCGAAAAAGAAAGGTGTGCTCAAGATCAGAGAAAGTCAAGTCAGAAGCACTGAGCAACCACAAAGGAGGTCTCCACGGTCCAAGTCAAAGTTGCTAGTGGTGACTGTGGAATTAGAGACCAAATCTGATGAGAGGGTATCAGTTCAGAAAGCTGTGGATATGACCTTAAACATTCCAGTACCTCGGCAACCAAGGCATAAGAAACAGAGAACCACTGAAGGGGGATCTCAACCTACTCAAGGTATCACTTCTGAATCTGAGCTGTTGGTGGGAAATTTGGATAGTCATGTCAACCAAGCAAAATTTAAGGCTAATTTTGCAACTAGGAAATTCTGTCCTGTACTATTTGTGAACTTGGAAAGTCTAAAATTCAACAAAAAGATTAGACTGAATTTGGATAATCCTATGAAATATTATTCAAATTGGTTAAATATTGGAGGAGAATATTGTCTTGAAGTAGTCAAGCGATTCTATTGCACTATGGAATCCTGTGAGGAGTATGATGAGCAGGATAATCTCATGAGTGATTACCTCAAAACACACCTTAGGGGCAGAACTATTATCGTTACTCCTACCAAGCTAAATGAGTTACTGGGGACAGAAGATCATGTGAGGGGAGGAGAAATGAATGATATCAAGGCTTACAAAATTCTAATGCAAAGTGACAATTTTCCTGGTGAACTCATTTTTCCTCCTAAACAAATGTGTGGTTATTACAGAATAATTCACTACATCTATTCAAGAAGCATGATCAATAAGTCTGGAAGCTTCTCCTACCTCAATTAGGATGATTACCTTCTGCTAGCAAAAATAATTAGTGGAGAGCAGATAAATATAGGAGCCTTAATTTATAATGAGATGAAGGACTTTGTACTCAACAAGTCCAAGTCAACTCCTATCCCCTATCCTCAGTTAGCTACCTATCTACTTCAAGTGCACAATATTGCACCTATGGAGCCTAGAGAGATCAAAGTAAAGGTACCCTCTTTTGGATTAAATCAACTGAACAAGATGAAAATCTCTGTGCCCCCTTAGGCCTTCACAGAAGCTAGCTCAGAAAGATAAAGGGAGACAGCCAGCTGTTAGCTCCTCTAGACCCCAAGATAAGGCAGAATCTACTGCAACTCCCTCTCATACCTCTTGACCCTCATTTATGGAAAGATCAATCAAGGAGATATTCCGGGCAAAGCTTCAAGAATATGAGAGGAGAGTTTATGCCACGGCCAAAGACTATGGGGAAATATCAAACAGGAAATTTAATGGCCTTTCCAAAATTTTGGATCTTCATCACCAAACCATGGTAGTTTTGGAAAAAGAGGTCTTACAGACGTTTGATTATGTTGACAAGGAGATTAGAGAACTGAAAAGCTTGGTTGCCTTCCTCTGCACAAACTTCTCAGCCCCTAGCACTTCTTTCAGTTTTGAAGAGCTACTCTCTCACCCACTATCTTCTCCTCAACTTGAGCCTGAACCACCTACATCACCTATACCCACTTCTCTTATTTCTCCTTCACCATTTGTACCTTCCACCTCTCCCACTCCTTCTCCTGCTACCCTAGCCATTATTACAGTTCCTTAGCCTATTCCTTCTCTGTCTCTTCCACCCATCTCTCAGGCTGTCTCTCCACTCTCTCAGCTTCCCCCTCTTCCTATCTCAATTACCTTGCTTATTGCTTCTACTTATTGCCCACCTTTTGATACTGACAAAAAAGGGGAGAAGGAATCTGTTTAGTTTAGTTCTTATTTTATTATGTTTTTATGGTTTTTTGTTATTTATGTTATGATTCATGTACTTCTAATATGTAATCTGAATTCTGGTGTTTAATTGTTATCAGTTGTGCTTAAACATTATCAGTGGTGCTTTTCTGCCAGTTTCTTGATCTGTCGTAAGTCTTTGCTAATTTTATGATCTGATTTACATTGTTGTATGATAAATCCTACACCTTTGTTTTGTCATCATCAAAAAGGGGGAGAATGTTAGATTTAAGGTTTTGATGATAACAAATTAAGAAATATGTGTTTTAGTAAGTTGATTGATCACCTAATCGATCAAGGGTTATCTATCACATGATAGATAAAGTTCCTGTGTAAACAAATAACTTAGCAAAAATGTTAATCGATAACTTGATAGATAAATCAATTTGTATGTGTTGATCGATCAATTGATCGATCATTATTAACACTATTTTGTATAAAAGTCTACAAAAAATTATCGATCAATTAATCGATAATCCAATAATCGAACAAT